CTTAGAAACCTTCCATATCAAGATAGGTTAAAGAAACTAAACTTGCATTCCCTAGAAAGACGAAGAGTGCAGGGAGATATGATAGAAGTATTTAAGTGGGTGAAAGGAATCAATGAAGGAGATACAGTGGTCCCTCAGTTAACAAGCGGTACGATTAACAAAATTTCGGTTAACGAATTACCTCCCATAAGGATCTTCAATTCAGTTAATGAACAAAACTTCGATTAACGAAATCCTTAAGACAAACACGTTTTGTTGTGAGCATCAGCTAATCGGCTAGTCCGTCAATACAGTAATCTGTTCTATGTTTATGTTCGTTTCCAGTGGAGTAAATATCAAGAAGGTTGTTCTTTAATATTTTTGCATTTTTTATATTAAAATTATTGGTCATTTTAAAATTTAACCATCCAAGCTCTGCTTACATAAAGTTTTCAACAAATATTTTTTTTAATATATGTAACTTTATTCATTTATTGAAACTCATTTACATGTACACACTGTCCTAAGGGCAAAGCTGTACTGTACATGTAATCAAAATAATGTATAAACTGATTACTAAAATTTTTGTCTAGCGCAAACTATCGCATGTTTACATTCAAATTAATCACTATCTTATAAGAATTCCAGCAATGTAAATTATATTCTCCCAGGTCACTTCTGTGACATTTTATAAGCAAAAAAAACAAAAACTCAATCTAAAGGACATAAATAAACAAATAAATACTTCACAAGGTGCCAACTGGCACAGTTCTGGAAGACACAATTTAACATCCTGGAGGCTGTAAAATTCATTGTGTCCTCATGGCAAGAAGTCTTCACTAGATCCCTCAATTCTTCATGGAAGCACTGTGGCCATCGGTAGTCCATAATTTTGAGGGATTTCAGGAAGAAGCAGAGTTGGACCAGGAGATTGTGTCCATTGGTCAGTCATTGGGCCTTGAAGTGGAGGAGGATGATGTAGAAGAGCTTGTGATGTCTCATGAGCAGGAACTTACTCCTGAAGATATGCAGCAACTGGATGAGATGTTCGAGGCTGACAGTGGTGAGGAGGAAAAGGAAAGTGATGACCATATGTCAACTTCAGATTTGAAAGATGTTGTTGACCACTGGGAGAAGTTCAGGAAACTGGCTTCAAGGCACCCTGATGTGGAAAAATCAGAACTAGCTTTGTGTAATGTTGAGGACACAGTGGTCTCCTTCTTCAAACATCAGTTATGATGAGGAGGAGAGATGCCCCACAGACAAAAATTGACAGTTTCTTCACTAAAAGGCAGTGGGAACAAGATGCTAGCCCTCAGCTTTCCACTTCAAGAAGAAGAGAGGATGTTCCTGCTGGAGAATCTGTCAGTCCAGAGGTTCCTGACATTTTCATGGAAGGTGACTCACCTTCCAAGAAGCAGTAAAATGCTTCTCCTCCACCTCCACTTCCTTCTCTTCTCCCTTCTCCTCCTCCTCCTCCCACTTCAAATTCACATCAGCATCATCATCCAGGAGCCTTCTACATACACACCTCAAAGTAAGTGTACTTTACTACCTTTTTGTTGACATTAGGCAATTTTCGGTGAGCTGAAACTAATTACCCAAAAACCCATTGAAACAATGGGTTTGGTTAACGAGCAACCTTCTGGAATGAATTGTGCTTTTTAACCGAGGGACCACTGTATATCAACATCCTTGAAATTTTTTTAATTCCTGCTAACTCTATGAGCCCTAGAGCTATAAATAAACAATTTGAGTTGTCTGGCATACACCCCTACAGGCAATCATGTGACTAGGCTTCGTGTTTGTTGGCAACATGCCAGTATCTTCGCCTGTCCCACTCTGTAAGAGTGTTGTCATAATGCTATCAGTGATGCCAAAATAAACTCTATTCTTTTTGATGAGGATGCTCCTTGTGATGCTGAGGAGCCATTAAGAGTGGACAGTGATTTGAGTGATTCTGATGATGTCAATGATCCTGATTACCCACATGACGACAAGGATAGTGAGAGTGAGTGATGTTGATAACCCTGACACCATACACATGACTCCATCACCAAATGCATCACTGCATCACCCGCAACATCAACCCCAAGACCAGGATGAGGCTCCACAAGCCATACTGTCACAGACTACACCTCCAACAAGCGTCTGGTTGACAAGTCTGACAGCGTGATCTCCAGTATAGATTGTGCATGTAAGACCATGAATTGGTACAAAAAACTCTTCTTCCATCTTTTGGACATGTCCCTTCTGAATGCGCACATTCTTTATCTAGTAAAGACAGGTAAAAAACCTACACTCTATGAGATTTCATTGAATGTGGAAAGGCAGCTTTTGGAGACCAATGCAGTACCTTGTCAGAGAAATGGAAGTCGTCGCACAGCTGGTGAACTCCCTTTGTGAATGATTGCTTGACACTTCCTCTCTGTGATTCCTTCCACTGGGGCAAAGCAGTATTCTCAGCAAAAATATTATGTGTGCCGCGCCAAAGTAAGCAAAGACGCTTGCTATCAGTGTACTCAGTGTGAAGCTCTGTGCCTGATTCCCTGCTTCCAACAATACAACACCCTTCACAAGTACTGAAACACAGGAAAAACTTTTATAAATACAGCCCCCCCCCCCAAATTTGCAGATTTTTATTTCGCTGTCCTCTATCATTCGCAGATGACACCCTGGATGTACCAAAGAATGTCTGTGGGTAGTTTTAAAGTTGCCAGCATTTTCGCAGCTGGGACAGGGAGACATTCGTTCTAGACAGTAATTTCTTTTACCTGTATTGTATATATGTGTGTGCTTTATTACTTTATTAATAAAGCACGGACTTGTGGGTAGACTGTCAAATTTTTAATAAATTTGTTTCTGATTATTTGTGAGAGTATTTTTCCCATTATTATTTACTTGTATGTGTTTTGTGTGAACACAGACACACAGCTATACAATACAGGTAAAATAAATAATTGTCCTAAGGGCAAACACATAAAGGGAATACGGTATACATTTCTTTGTACACAAGTAAATATGTACCCCCCCCCCTGGTCAGCAAGTGTTATTCGCGGATTTGGCGATTCACAGCCATTTTGAGAACCTAACCTACGTGAATTTGGGCGCTTCCTATAGTGTAAATATATATAATTTCTCATTATTTTAGGGAACTGTACCAACACAACATGATGTGGTGGTGGCAGTGTGACAGCGTATTGGTGGTAAAACTGTACTGTATAAATTTGTGCCTTACCCGATAGCAAATTTCATGTGTTGACTCCTAATAATTGCCTCGGTGAATAATATCTACATATTTGAGTACCTACAATAAATAGCAAAATTAGTGTAGAATAATGTAAATGAAAGTTATTTTATGTAAGTGATGTCTGAAACTCACTGCAGTGTGTTTGCTGTGGAGCAGAGGCCTCTCTCAATGTTGCATTCCATTTAGAATTGCCACATGTAAGTTAAAAAAAATTATGATTGAATTCCATTTTTCTATTCACCTACCTATCCAGTAATATATAATCACGAGTTTAGTATAAAAAATGGGGTGTAAATAACAAAATAAAGTAATTAAAATAAATTCAGAGTGATATGTCTCCCAGGTCATGCAGAGATTGTGGTAATGTTGGATTTAAAATGCTGGGACTGGTTCCCATGGTAATGGAGAGCTACACAACAATTCCAATGAGTCTGCCAACATGAGACTTGAGTTGGCCACTTTCTAACCATTTCACATAGTTTTAGGCATCATTATCTAGCTTTTCCAACAAAAAAAAAACAGAAATTAACTTATTTGTAACCAGATGGAGGTACTGTATCTAGGTTTATTACATGCAAGCCACGTATAGGTTAATTAAGATGATGATAGCGCGATTTCAGTACATTATACCATTTGAAGACAATAATAGCAGTTCAAGGGTTAAAGGGATTTTTTGGAGTATGTTTTGGGTTTGCAGTCCAGTACCTTATATTTCCTATCCAAATACATACTGATACAGTATAAGGCAATTCCATACTGTGCAGCAATTCTTGGTCCCATTCTCACGCATTATACCGGTGCTCCTCAACTTATGAACGAGTTATGTTCCTGAGGCTTGTTTCTAAGTCCAACTTTACTCCAATAGATACCAAACATATTGCGAAAAATGAAAAGATAATGGAGATTTAGTACAACTATACCCTACAATACAGCCTTAAAACCTGGCTCCCTCTTTTCCTCTTAAGTAATGCATGTTCTATCAGGAATTTTCTTCAAAGCAATCCAGTCTCATCCATAAAAAACACTTGCTGTGGAAGGTAACCCTCCTCAATTATGATGTTTGTATCTCTGAAAGTTTGTAAGTCGAATGTTCTAAGTAGAGGAGCACCTGCACTCTATTTAGGATCTACTGTATCAATATTTTCCATCAGACTGCAAGGTATCCAGCTGCAGCCAGATATTTTGGGGTAATGGTCAACAGGTTTTCTAGAAATGCTCTAATTTCCTCTTAAGTTTGTTGATCTCACTAGGTAGCGACACCAAAGCTGTTCCGACTTTCAGCACAGAAATTCAGCAAGTCTCTTTACAACTTGGAGATGAGACCAAATTGGTTTACAAGATCATAAACTCTAAGATACATCAAGTCATGTTCTTCTGTCCAGTAAGACAACAAGCAAATCCACTCAGACCCACCCTAAACAATACTCCCTTGCTTACTGTTGAACAGGTGAAATTATTGGGTATACAGTACTGTACTGTACTTATCAATTCAACACTTGATTAGATTTATTGTTCTAAGCACAAAATTGGCAAAGCAGCTAGAACTATATTCATCATCCATAACAGCTAACACTCCAGGTTCTTAGACTTTCACTATATTAAATATGTTATACTATGTAGATCCTGTTTGGCACCCACAGCTCACAAAAGACTGGACTCCAAGTGTGTCTCGGGTTTGGTATATTAAAAATGGATTTAAGAATGAAGTACTAAACATATGTCCTAGTCCATACCCACATATTGTACACTGTATTCAGGTACAGAAACTTACCTTAACCTGACTAGTTAGTTGCTTGTAAACTTGCAGTATCCTTTCCTCACCACACTGGTCGACTGTTTGCCCACAGAGTTGGAGGTATGCCCCGAGGGTGGCCAGGTTTATCTCTCGTCCCTCTCGCTTTATGTGGTCCAAGTAAGACGTTGCAAGAGGATAATTTTGGTATGACTGGCACCGCCTTATCATAAGAGCATCACAACTCTTAGCATTCATCCAAGGGGTCTTCTGAGACACCAATTCTATTACATCCTTCCACTCACTACTTGACATTTCCACTTTGTTCTCAAATATATCAGCAAGTTCTGTGGTTTCTCCTTCACTATCATCTTCCATATCTTCATTCTCATCATTGTCTATTCTTGATTTACTTGAGTATCTACTTTTTGATATTGCTTGACAATTTATGCTAGTCAAGGCTCTACTCAAAGTTTGTAAAGAAAAATATGTTACATAATTTTTATTTGAAAAATTAATTTTCAACAATTTAACAGCTGAATGACATGACAACATACGACAGGTGAACATTAAACCTCCAACATGTTTGCTGGTTGACCAGAGGAGTTTTCCATGCTGTAAATATTGTAGAAGAGCCATCTGAAACAAAATATTGAACTAAATTAATTACACTGACACAGTTAAGAACAAATTTCACTACTGATACGGAGAAAGTATAGGGGGTTTGATTCTGGAAGCAGTCAGTGAGGAATGACCTATGAATGTATGTTCCCAATACTAACGGGGTTTCACCAGTAACTCACTGGGCCTAATGAAAGTACAGGTAGAGGTAATCCGGAGATCACTCACCGACTTGTGGCAACCATTGATCAACCTAAGACAAGTGTGATAAGTCATAACATTGTTTAGTTTTTCGACTATGTATCTTATTTGACAAAGTTATATACCAGGTTTAAAATCAGTCACAACCATCTATTAAGACATCTCTGGGAGGTGGCTAAAAAGCAGATACTGTACTATAGACAAATTCCTCATAAAAAGGAAAAAAGTGCAAACTTTACAATTTCCTCTTTGGCTTACTCAGTATTTTCATGGTGTCCTAAGTACTGTATTGAAACCCCTTCTCATATGCTTGAATTCTTAGTCGAGATTCTTGGAACAATTTTCAACCCAAAAAGGGGACCCTTAACAAGTACATAATAAGCTTTTTTCAAACTACGAACAGTACCTAAGAATTTCGTAAAATCCTTAAGAATCTGCACATGGCAATAAGCATCCTTTAGGTCAACAAGTGTCCACCAAAATCTTTATTCAGACTTTATCTCACCTCTTCAATGGTTCCTGGATCCTATTTGTAAGCTGAATTTTCAGTAAACCGAAAATGACCCTTCCATAAGGTAAATATGTACTGTACCCTGTACTGAATCACAGATGGTGTCTCACAAGGGGATGCACTCAGCCACCTTACACATAATAGTGTTGTTATGCTGTACTAGTTATCTTCCATAATAACAAACTCTTGCACAACCCAAAAATTTTTATAATGGAATTTATGGGAGACATTCTGTAACCTCGAATTTCCGTCAACCAAGTGTTCTGTAATACGGGGAGTGTCTGAACTGTACTGAACTGTATCAGGAATTCCCTTATTCATCCTTGAAGATCTAATTAACATTACTTTATGATCCACTGTAGATTTGGGAACATACAAGAAACCCAACCTATAAAAGGCTCGGTCTTAATGACTGAATTACAGCATCATTTTACTCAATCTGACACAAAATCCCCAGGACAATGCAATCATTCTGATCCAGAATTGATTTGTTACATGGTTTCCATTTTAAACTAAAGAAAGCTATATTAATGGTCTAAGATTTCTGTTTCCATAATCTTCTAAAAGGAACACACCTACAATACAAATATCCAGAATACTGTTTCTGTTTTATATTTTTTATACAGTAGACCCTTCCAATTTGCGGGTTTACGATTCGCGATTTTGATGATTCGCAGTAAGCAGATGGTGGCTCGGGTAGCTTGCATGCGAGCCTTTTCCCTCAGCGCAACGAGTCACCCCACTCACCCGTGGCGTCTCATCTCGCTCTGTTTGCACTCACCCAGTACCCGTAACCTAGCATCCCATGTAATATTCTCAAAACTTTAGTGTTTCTTTGTAAAAATGGTCCCGAAAAGACTGCCTAGTGTCAGTGCTAGTGATGCTTGTGGAGTGAAGCATAAAAGGCAAAAGTGATATGGGATTAGCTGAAATAGAGACTGGGCCGACTCCCAAACTCCACTTTATCCGACACAATACCTATGTTCTAGTAAAAATAACATCTTAATTTTATGATGGTACGCACACACAATTAATATTTAAGAGAAATAGAGTCGCCAGGTTAATGTCCATTCAAATAATGGACTCAACTCCCCCCCCCCCTCTTCCCACACTTGCTGGCTCCTCCCTCTCTGAGAAATGTTTGGGTGAAAACACTAGATTTTAAGGTATAGTAATAAATAAAACCTCAAACTAAAGTTAGGATAATATAATTGACATTGCTGGATTCCTTGCAAGACCAGGAATATTTTGAATATACATGTCATATATTTTGCACAAAAGATAACATATTTGCTCTGAGTAAACAAAATTCTTACATTAGATCTAAAATTTGTATGTCTAATGCAAAATCTATGATGTTTATATTCAAAATGATCATCAAATTGTAAGAATTCCAGCAATGTAAATTATATTCTGGCCAGGCAATTTGTATGAATTTTATGAGCTAAAACAAATATCTTCAATAAATAAAAAAAATATACTTCACCCAAACACTATCTGTCAATCAAAATACCCCACCTCTGGCTCCCCCCTCTTCCCACACTTGCTGGGTCCCTCCCTACCCCCCACCCCCACCTTCCCTCCCTACCAGAGAAATGTTTGGATTAAAACAGCAAATTTACATTTTTAGTAAAATAAAATACCTCAGACTAAAGTTAGGATAATATAATTGACATTGCTGGATTCCTTGCAAGACCAGGAATATTTTGAATATACACGTCATATATTTTGCACAAAAGATAACATATATATATATATATATATATATATCCATCCCTGTTATCACCTGTACGATACTAAGAAGAAGTCGAATGCAGGACGTTTGGTTTAGGCCAGAGTGGTTAGGACCTAATCGTGGCCCAAAGATCTGCTCATCGAATAAGTCAAGGGTTTTAGTTAAGTTTCGGACCATAATTAGCTACAATTATTTCCATGTGTTTTTTAGGTCAACTCGTCAAATTAGACGACATTTCTTCTATGGCATTTCCGTCACAAAATGAATAATAACCGAGATATGGGGAGTTTTTACCTTAAAAATTAAATTACTTTTCATCTTACCCCTGTACACAGGTCGTTCTTCATTCACGCTAGCGTGTGTCAAACGTGACGTCACAGCTTAAGTTAGGTTAGCTTAGGTTTCCTTGGTTAGGTTAGGTCTCAAAATCCTTCTGGAGATGAAGCCTGGGTTTTTCGCATGATTTTTTATGTGTTTTATTCAATTTTGATATTTATTTTCATTGGAAATCACTTGTTTAGGCTGTGGGAGGGAAGGGGGGGGGCCTATCTCAAAACGAGTGATTTCCAACATAAATCAATATCAAAATTGAATAGAACATCAAAAATCATCAGAAAAACCTAGGCATCATCTCCAGAAGGATTATGATCTAAAACTTAACCTTTACTTGATACTGCAGTGGTCATGATATCATCCAGTCGTGACCAATGATGTATAGATATCAATCACGCGAATTTTTTTCGACCAATCACATTTGAATTTTTTCAAAGGAAGCAGCTTGGGTATGGATTTGAATTTCAATCACCAGTCTAACAATGGCCATGGTGGAGGTTGGTTGTGATTCATGCTCCTACGATTATTTTATGTTTATTGCCGAGTTTTACGAGAAAGACAATCATTCAATCCACTTTTAACTAAGGTATTGTACTTTCGGACATGGCGTTCCCCAAAGTTTTAAACTACTGAAACATTTATGTTAGGTTAGTTTAGTTTAGATGATGCGTTTTCGTGTTCTCCCCCACCCAAAAACCATGATTTACCATTATTGTTGGGGGGATTAGGGGGAGACGGGGCAAAAACGAGCAATTTCCGACAAAAATGAAGATCAGGTTCGTTTAAAACACACCAAAATACACTGGAAAAACATATTGGTCAACCCCTAGGGAGTCATGTCCTAAAGTAATAATTTACCACCACTCCTTGAGGTTCACTCAAGACTTGGCCAAATTTACATTAACACGGATAAATATTATAAGGACCACTTGGTCCTACTTCCAGCTAAGCAAAAACAAATCTTTAAATATAACAGAAACAATGTTCATTAGAAAATATGGTTAATGTGTAGATTAATGCTGCAAACGATTCCAGCAAGAACACACTGCTTTTCCACCGTAATTTTCGTTGTTAATTGTAAGTGACAGTGTTCGCTTTTGGGGAAGTGTTTCTTTTTTTATTATTTATAGTATAATACTGTCGGCGAGCCATGGGAGGGGGAGTGCGTAGTGCGCGGGTCATCTGAATCGCATTACCATGACCAACTCTGAAAAAATAGCATTTCTCCAATAGAGGTATACGTTAGATTAGGTTAAATTAACATAAGTTAAATACTGACAACATTATATAACCACACGAAGGGGGGGGGGGGGTTTGAGGAGGGCGCTAGGGGGGTTAGGTGAGACTACAGTAATGTTTGACCATGATTGAAAAACATTAGGGTTTTTTCCCCAGTAAAAAACTATCTCCAATAAAAAAGCAGCAAAATTCATGCAGGAATTTTTTCCCTGGCGAAATCGCTCACAGCACTTAAGTAAACGTTTACTGAAAATACTACAACTTACTGCGAGATTTTACTAGTGACACACGAAAATAATAAATCTTCACCACTTCATTTCACTACCACTTATACTAATACTTTATAACACTTTCCAAAAATACGTCACAAAGCTGATATTTGTGTACAATTTACTCTGGGCACACACTTAACAGGACACAACCTTACCTCTCGTCACATACCTGTTAACTTTCTTTACAACACTCGACACACTTGTACTCACCGCTTCAGTGAGAACAATACACAGTACCTCGGACTCGTGGGAACCTGAGTCTCAGATCAAAACATTGGTGTGCGTCACTCAGTAAACCCGCGACTCCGTGACCGAGCCGAGCTGAAGCTTTGAAACCGAGTCTTGGATTCGGTCTGTACACCCGTACCCCACTGTACCAGTCAGGGTTGCCAGATGGCCGTTTCCACGGCCATATTTCTCTAATTAGGCCGTAAAAAACTTCGCCTGGCCGTGAAAAAACGGATGGTTACGGCCAAACTATTTGGCCGTATTTTGTAAAACACGTATTAATTCCACATTTAGTGGATTTTGAAGAAAAGTCTAGCAGTTTTTCAAATTTCACAATGAAAATGCTGGCTCAGTGACCTCATCTTGTCATGACCTCACCTAATCAGGACCTCGCCTCTTCACATGTTTACGTGACCTACTGAGCTGACTGATCTTTCTAGTTACTACCTTAGCTGTTAGTTCTCTTATTTGAGTTGTTCAGGCTGAACGTGTCCAGCATATGGGTTAAGCTTCAGAGCTTACAAAGCCATCTGAGTTACTTTCTGAAATTCCGAGTGCTAGTTTTCAAAATGTCCACTAGTAAATGGAAAGGGTCCCACGACAGTGGTAGAAAATATAACAAACCAGGGGACGATGACGAACTTGACGTTTTTGCTTACGCTTACTAGTGTTATCAAGTTCTCCACCATTATCATGCACCACTGTAGGGTTATGAGATATTGGTTCACACTCAGGATGAGATGGAGAAAGGAAACTCACAATGTGCTCACTGTATACATATTGTATTGGATGTACAATGCAGCTTGTTGCTGGGTAGGCAGCATGGTAACAAGCGTTGAGTAGAGAGAGCTGGGTGGTGAGGGTGCCCAGAGTGAGGGCACGCGGCTTGAGGGACGCCAAGGTCACCGGCGGGAGCGGGAGCCGCACGGCTGGCGCGGAGATGTTGCTTGCTGGTGGCACTGGGTAGAAAGAGGCTGGTCACAGCGGTGTCACTAGCGTAGCTAGGGGGGGGGGCGGTCCGCCCCGGGCGGCACTTTTGGGTCTGCTCATCACCCATATCTGCAGCTACTGGAGACGTTAATCCATCCCTTTGTATCGGCGGCAAGTTAATCCTTGTCGTGTCTGACCTAACACCTGACCCACATCATCACGGCCACGTCATGAGCTACACCCTTGCTATGCGCCCCCCCCCGCCACACACACAACCTGTAACCTGTTGAGGATTAAGGAAACTTATAAAGTTTAAGTATGTTTGGTGTGTATTTAAAGCATACTATATTTGAGTATGTGAAAGTACAGTAATATTATAATGGTACACAAACTATTTAATATATATATATATATATATATATATATATATATATATATAGAGTGAGTCACTGTGCAATATGTATTTTTGTGGGGGCACGGGGGGGGGGGGCGGCAAACTCAAGGGCCGCCCCGGGCGGCAAACTCAAGGGCCGCCCCGGGCGGCACACACTCTAGCTACGCCACTGCGGTGTCAGGACTTATAAGGCGTGGGTAGATAGTTGACCCCCGCTCCGTGGGCGGCGCTGGTTGACCTAGACCACGAGGCATACACTGGGGAATTCGTGGGGTCGGCTACGCAGCGACAAACAGCGTTTGTAGGGGAGAAATCCACTACAGGGTCACACTGGATATCACCCTTCTCACGTGTGTCCGGGCCGCGATTTTTTTTTTTCCTGAGGGCTTCTGTTATCTTCAACAAGCGGCAGGGTCGCAGTGTTTTTTGAAGCGCGGCAACACTATTCAATCAGCTGGTGGCAGCAAGAATTTGTTCTATCTTGGCCGTGCTGGCTAGGTTAGGTTAGGTTGTTATTTGTTTATATTAGTATCTATTACGTTAGGATTAAGCCAAGCATAAATAATCGTCTCTTCTTCTCTCTTTCTTACGGAGGGTACATTGGTGCCGAGCTTCAAACACTGCAACGGTGCCGCTTGTTGAAAATGACGGAAGCCCTCAGGAAAAAAAATCGCGTCCTGGCCGAGGCTTGAACCCTTGACATATTAGTGAGTCATGCGCGTTACTGCTGTACCACCAATATCAAGAACATTAAGCTACATTAAAGCAGGAACACTGATATTTTCAACAAAATTCAACTGAGTCAAATTCACTTAATAAGACGGTGTCAGACACAGAGTAACATACCTGTTATGCAGAGAATAAGGCGCTCAAATTGAGCTCTCAAGGGCTGTGCTCTCTATTTTATACCCTAGGTTATATAAGACCGTGTTGGCAATCCTTCAGCTTTTGTTTTAGCTTTTATCCTCTTCACCATGTAATGATCCCGGTCGTACATGTTAGTTAACGTAAAATCAGACGATTCATATTACGCTCAATAGCAAAAAAATGCAGCTTTGCCTTCTTTATTGAGTCACTCGTCTGAAGCTTCCGTTTTCTCATCGCTTCAGGATGCCTGTGTTTTTCGTTTTCTTTCAATCTTAGAGTGCACCAGAGACTCTGTTATTCCTTAGTATAACGACACGAAATTTGAAATTGCAACTGTAGTTGTATATGTTAAGGCAAATTATATATGCCTGATTCCAGATGAAACATTCAAGATCCCTTGTGAGTGATGTTGAAAGCTTCAACTATCTTTATTGTCAGTAAAACTTGTCAAGTAAGCGAGTGTCGAGTCTGCCAGTATGAATGGCATCCCGTGATATCGTCCTTGGGGACAGCCATGAGTTTCCAATTGCTACTGAAGTTAGATTGTTTTGATGCCCAAACTTCAGAGAATATGATGTTTGTAGTTTATGTAGTGTCAGTTGTCTATTTAAGAAAGTCATTAATCTCCTGAAAGATTCTGTCAAACTTTATATCTCCAAGATCTCGATGAATACTCATAGAGGGCCCTTGTCTGAAATCCCGCTACAAGCTCAACCTCTGATAAGATTATAAAAATAAACATAAGAAATTAACCAGACCCATGACACTGATTTTCATAGTTAAATGTACCACAGCTGATTTACATGTAATTTCTGTCATTGCGTGATTAGCCTTTCTGGCATGTCTAGCGCACAGGCCTGAGTTGCCAGTTATCAGTATATAAACTCGTGTACGAGGAACAACTGTAGTGGATACTCTCCTCTACAACTGCCGACTGATCACCTGCCATTTGCTTACCAGCCAATTAGCTTACAGGTAGTAGAAGCTCCAGCGACGTCCACAGACTAGGTCTCAAGTGCGGACGCAGGTGTACAACTGCTGACTGATCTCTGCCCGTCCGCTTACCAGTTAATCAGCAGCGAGTTCCACCGACCATGTTGTTGTTGTTGAGATTGTCGGACCGTAGTCCGACACGGGCCTCTGCCTATAGGCGGCCCGTTTGGTGGTTCCGGCTGGAGCTCCAGGAGCAGCCAGACCGGATTGGGATTGGAGGTGGTCCCACCTGCAGATTGGAAGGATACTGCAGGTTGCAAGTGTGAGTGGACCCCCGATCAGTGGACGCTTACCACCAACCCCCACTCTTGGACGTGGTCAGTTTCGGAGTGGCGCGCCCCCCGAACTGGGGTCAGCACTTGCTGGGAGAGGATACTTTCTAAGCTATCTGGGTGGTGGGTGTGTGATGACCCGGAGTAGGTGGTGAATGTGGTCTGTATGGGCCTTTCGGGTTAGAGTGGCCGCGAGTGTTACATGTGTTTCTTGGGAGATTTGAGTTCTGTTTCGGGGACTTTGTGTGACTTCGCAGTCGAGGAGATAGTGTTCAAGTGGGTTGGCTGCTGGCTCCTGACAGTAGGTGCATTCCATGACGTCATTTCCGATCATCTACCAGGAGCACTTGTACCCTAGTCGTAGTCGATGAAGGCTGACTTGGGTTTGTCTTGGAGTTTTCTTGTCCGCGAAAGGTGGTTCCCCTTTTGTAGCCGCCAGGTACCATTTGGCTGATTGGGAACCAGCGTTGAATGCGTGAAGGAAGCTCTTTTTGATGTGGAGCTTGCTAGTATTTCTGAGGTGATTCTTGATCTGTTGCACGCTTGCTGGAACTTGGATGTGTACGCTACTAGAACGTGTAGCTGCCTTGGCTGCTTCGTCTGCCACGTCATTTCCTCCGATCCCTACACGACTGGGAATCCAGTGTAAGACGACTGGGCGGTTTTGGCTTTGGAGTTCCTGTAGCTGTGCGAGGATCGAGGTAATGACGTGGACGTTGTCTCTTGGTTGACTGTGTTGCAGCGCCTGCATGGCCGATTTCGAGTCCGTGTGAATTATGATGGACTTGTTGTGTTGTGTTGCAGCGTGTTGTAGGGCCTTTGAGATTGCTACCAGCTCTGTTTGTAGGGTGGAACAATCATTGGAAAGTCTCCATCGGAGGGTCTGACCTTGGGTGTAGAAGGCCGCTCCGGATCTATGATGTTTTGGGTCCACCGAGCCGTCTGTGAAGTATGATGCTGCATCAGCCGGTGTCTCGGTGGCTATGGCTTCCAGAGTTATTTTTTGGAGGTCCTCCTTCTGGAGGTTGGCTTTACTATCGCCTAGGTCGGTAATTTTGAGTGTGGCTGGTGGAGGGCTCCATGGTGGAGGAACAACGTAACCATTGTCTCGTGTGTCTTGGTTGTTCTTGACGAGTGTTTCTGCTTGCAGGTGTCGGATGACCTCGCTTGCCTCGTGCGACCAGGTGGCCCCTCGCACTCTGTGGTCGAGGTGGAGGGAGGCACTGATTCGAATTTTGGCAACTGTGGGCTTATCTGATCTACAGATTTTGGCGAGGAGACCGGCTGTCACCTGCTTGACTCGTACTGCCAGGAGTGGTAGTTCAGTTTCCATTTGCAAATTGCAAATTCTAGTCCACATGGGTGCTCCGAGCATGGTCCTGAGAGCATTATTTTGGATAACTTCTAGCTTAGCTATCTGGTCTTCTCTCAGTCCAATGAGTGCTGGAGCGCTGTAATCTACCAGCGATCTGATGGCGGCCGTGTAGTAGGCTTTGAGCACATGAAAGTTTGCTCCTGCGGTTGTGCTGGTGAGCGACCTCATTATATTGTGTCTGCTCTTCGTCCTGTGCCTGAGATACTCGAGTTGCGGCTTGAAGGTGAGTTTCTGGTCAAACCAGATTCCAAGACACTGGTGGGT